GCTCGACTGGCTCTCATTAATGCCGAAGGTATTATAGAGTCATCATTCTCTCCTAGAAAATATTGTATGCAACTTTGCTCTGATGCCTATGATCAACTTTGGCGCTTTGATCATGAAGCACTTCCAAATGACCTAATTAGCAGGTAACCTTTTTAACATGCTTGGAGTTTCATCCTGAAAGAACAATAACAATAATAAAGACAATAGAAGTAATACCTTTGTATTGTATCTCTATATTTTAGGGGAATGGCTGTCGAAGATCCAACTGCACCACATGGATTGAAACTAACAATCGAGGATTACCCTTATGCCAATGACGGTCTACTCCTTTGGGATGCCATTAAAGRATGGGCTACATCCTATGTGAACCACTACTACCCACAAGCTAATCTGGTAGAATCCGACGTAGAACTTAAAGCATGGTGGGAAGAAATTTGCAATGTTGGACATGGAGATAAGAAGGATGAACCCTGGTGGCCACAACTTAAAACCCAAGAAGACTTAATTGGAATTGTCTCAACTATCATGTGGGTAACTTCTGGTCACCATTCAGCTGTTAACTTTGGACAATATGACTTTGCTGGTTATTTCCCCAACAGGCCAACCATTGCCAGAACAAAAATGCCTAATGAAGACCCAACAGACGAAGAATGGCAGACATTCCTAAAGAGGCCCGAAGATCTGTTATTGAAATGTTTCCCTTCCCAAATTCAAGCGACTCAAGTTATGTCAGTTCTAGATGTTTTATCAAGTCACTCACCAGAAGAGGAGTATATCGGTGCACAAATGGAACCATCATGGGCGGCAGATTCGACTATAAACACCGCATTTGAAGAGTTCCGCGGGAAGTTAGAGAAACTTGAAGGCGTTATAGACTCGAGGAACACTGACTACAATTTGAGGAATCGAAGTGGTGCAGGATTGGTTCCATACCAGCTTCTGAAGCCTTATTCTGAATCCGGTGTGACCGGAAAAGGTGTTCCAAACAGCATATCCATCTAGTTGGTTGGCTTTCATCCATGGAAGCTAGTAATAAAGGTTTCCAAGATCTATCCTTGGGTCCGTGAGTGTGGTAATAAGGTCATAATCCATGGTTCCATTTTGTTTTTTTTTTATGGGTCATTTGGAATAAGTTCATCATGTGTCATGTTATATTATTAGTCTACAGAATTAATCCCATACCCGATCAAGTAGGTTGGATTCTTTGTGCCTAACATAAATGGTTGGAATATGGAAATGTAAGATATGAACAAGAATCTTGGTTCTATAAATAATTATAAAGTATTTGTACAAAACTCTATATGAATGTTCATGAACAATAGTTATTGTATTATATTATCTTGTTGACGGAAAAAAACACACCCATAAACTTTCAAAACCTCTACAACAGATTAAGGTTTTATGTTTTTTTCTAAAAAATGCCACGTGAAATAATTAAAAAATCACATAGTTACCCTTATCAAAGGCAAATGGGGACCCACAATTTTGTGTATGGAGGACCAAAATCACGTGAAGATTTTTTTTATAATAAATAATTCGTAAGAATCACATGGGTCAAAACCATTATTGATTTATTTCTCAACCATCTCATTTAACCAAATGATGATTAATCTATGACACTAACATTTTCAAAATAATCTAAGGGGTCGTTTACCAAACACTTATCCGGTAAGCATTTATCGGTAAAATTTAATGCTATCGTTTACTTATCGGGTAAGATTTTAGTCTACTAAAACGGCATCGTATACAACAATTTACTCGGTAAGCGCTTACTGGTAAGACTCTTGGTCCTTGTCTCGCTCTTACCGCGTAAGATTCTTACTCCTTATCATATTCATCTCATAAGATAATATAACTTGATAAGCGCTTACCCAGATAAGCGTTTGGTAAACGACCTCTAACTCATATTAAATTCGTTTATTTCATCAATCACATTTTGTTTGACCTCAAATAAAACAAGTGTTATTTGTACAACGTTGTCTATATAGATGAATCTGTTTATAGATATCAGGAAAAGTTTTTTGTTTTGTAGGATTTTTTTCATAGATAGAATGAGTCAGTTTTTTGACTATGAAGGTTTAGAAAAAGAAAAACTTGATTTTTTTTCTGTATAAAATTTTCACTAGAAACTTACTGAATAAACCAGTTTCTGTATTATTAAATTTTTACCCAACAAGCATATAATTCCAAATAAACTGTTGGCTAGTACCACTTTCTAAATGTATTTCTTAATGTAGTATTGTAAAAGGTTAATATTATTATATGAGTTGAATCATAGACAATGTTTTCACAAACATATTATTATATGGGTCCCAGTGTTTGAATGCACCAAAAATTCAAGGTATGGTACTGAACAGCTAGAAGAGGAAATTGACAAAAATGTACGTATACTTTTAATTATTTCTTTTATTAATGTTGAAATTAATAATAAACTACTCGTAATATCATAATAAACTTATATAATATAAATAATTCTTCAAATTAAATATAAAATACGAGTAAATTATGCTTTTAGTTCTTATGGTTTGTTGAAAATTTCTATTTTCATATTTATGATTTTGAAATTAAAATATTCATCCATATAATTTATTGTTTTTTTTGTTCTTATGATTTATAATTTATTTCTATTTTAGTCCTTTATAATTAAAAGTAGTGTTTTGACCTCAGAGATGAAAATAGAAATGACTTACAAACTATAGGGATGAGAAGTGAAATTTTGAAACCACAAGGACAGTATCCGCAACTTTTAACAAACCATAAGGACGAAAAAGATAATTCCAATCACAATTTTTTATTAAATAATAAATATATTTGTTTTTAGATTTCAAATTTAAATAAATAAAATAAATAAATTACTAATAAATCAAACTTTAAGAAAAATGTTTCAATTAATATAAAATCAAAGAGTGTAGAAAATTTAAAATTCAAACAGTTCCAACATTTTTATTGTGTCCTTGATTTTATTTGTGTGTGTATATATATA